GTCAAACTAAATAATTACACCCTGAGCTCATCCGCGCATCTCTACACTACACTGACCTGGGTTGCCAGTAGCAAACAATGGAGCTTGTTTGCTAGTCAAACTAAATAATTACACCCTTCAGAAGCATTTAATCTGCGTTATATGTTCTGTAAAAAAAATTTCATATCGGCGGCATATTCACAGATACCGATATATCGGAGACAGGCTCATATCGGCTGATAATATCGGCTAAACGATATATCGGTCGGGCTCTAGTTAGGATAACTCATTGGTTCGGACTCCCCAGAGGCTGACCAGATGCTGCGTTTCCTGCTTAGATGAACAACTACTTTTTGAGGGTCTAAGAGAGAACAAAGTGCAAATGACAGCTTTAAAGTGTTAAGGGCTATTGTGGAATGGGAAGGCCCGGATTGGCTAATCGGGAGCACTGAAAGGATTCCCGGTGGGCAGGTCTGTATTCTTGGCCGCGAGGGCCGTTGTTGTCATGCCCACTGGGTTGAAATATGGATGTTGTCCCTAGACTGCCTGCACTCATAGCAGCCCCACTCTTTTTATTTATTTTCTCGCAGCCCATATTATTATTTCCACTAGACCATATCAATAACAAATTCTCAATTGATAATTAATCATTCTTTTTGCGCAAATCATTGTTTTATTTGTGAAGAAGCTCTTTAAGGATGGCTTTAAGACCAATCGGAATCCTCTACCGTCTGCTCCCGCTTCACAACGAGCGGGACTCGCGCTAACCGCAATTCCCTTCACCTTCCGAGTTTTGATTTTGCCAAATCGGTTTGGGCCAATGCAAACAACTTATTGATCATGAGCCCAACATCCTGACACCCCAACACCTCCTAAATTATACACTTGTGATTTGTGAAATCACAATTCTATATTGGTAAAATTTACTCAGGCCGATGAAATTTTTTGTATGACATTAAAATTATTTTTAGAATAATTGTACACAAATACGTTAAGCAAAACGATTGTGAGAACTTTTTACCTGCATGCAGACAGCCTACATTATTACAAATATTTGGAGCGTCCCTTATTCTGTCCCTTATTTTCTTAAAGAATAAACACTTATTTTCTACAAGAATACAAGAATAAACACTATTTTCTTAAAGAATAAAAGATAAAGAATCACAATTGTCCCTTATTTTCCATTTCTGAAGTTAATTGGCAACCCTAATGATGGTGTAATTATCTTTTGACTCCCCTGACAGCGGCACCTTGCTCAAAAAATCAAAACAAAACAAAACAAAAAAACCCCCCCGTCAGTTGTTGGAGATATGTGAGCAAAAAATAATAGATCAAAGAAAATTCATAATAGAAAGCGCAAAAGGTGGCACTAAAAAAAGGGTTTAGTATGCAGTTAACTTCCATATTGTGGAATATTTCAGAGTGAAACTTTGTTCGTTCAGAAGTACAAACTGTATTTTTAGGCTAGTCCAGTGATTGTACATGTGTGTTCTAGAGTTAAATAAGGCTCTTTTCAAGGGCAGGTTTGTCAAAATTTGTCAGTTTAGTTGTTTACTACCACAGAGTCGGATCCAATGCTTGTGTTTTTCAAGATTACTGGCTGGTTTCAGAAACGGAACAAATGAAACCACATTTGTTAACCATTCTGGATGCATTGTATCCAAATTACATCAGCACCATAACAACTTTTTTACTATACTGTTGGGAAGTTTTGTAAATTTGGACTATAATAACTGTGAGTCATTTATCTGTCGTGAAGTCAGTTGTGCACAGAAAAACCAGGGACATTTATTTAAAACTGAAAAGGTCAGCATTTAGTGCATGTTGTCTATAAATTAAACATTCTCACATTTTTAGGCTTTTTTGGAACCCAGAAGGTTGTTCCTTTGCTTGTGTGGAATCATTTCCATGTGATTCAGTGCCTTAGTTCTCGTGATCTGATCTGGCAGGTTCGGTGGGTTGGTGCATCTGCTCATTGGCCCCTGTTGAAAAGCTGGCGGTGATGAGGTTACAGGAGTCGTGTGGGGTTGCAGTACAGGAGAAAGCTGATCTGAACTCGGCAGCCGTGAAGGTGCTCTACAGAGCACAGGGCAGAGCTGCAGGATGGCAGTGCCAGCTTGGTGCCTAGTCATCTGTGAGTTTGGCATCAGGAGGGGAGAGAAGCGACTGTGCCAACTTGCTTTACACATCCCTAGCAAAATGTCTCTCTCTCTCTCTCTCTCGCTCTCTCTCTCTCTCTCTATCTCTCGTTCTTGCTCTCTTTTCTCCAGCTGTGGTGACTCAGCGGGACAGTGGGTGCGGAGAGAGAGAGAAAACTGCAGTATTACAGTTGAGGTCATTTTTGTTAAACTCTAACATCTCCCAAGCGCAAATGCCTAAATTCAGCCTCAGGCTAGCCATTCATAATCATAAAATTAGTATTCTTTGAAAGCAATGAGAAATCCTTCTGGATTTACCAAAGCCTATATTTTCTTTCAAAATTCATCATGTCAATATTTTTGAAGTAGATTTTGTAATGGCTAATGGTTGACTGTTATGGGCATTTTAATGGCCAATACTGATGTCTAGAGAGCAGAATGAAGATGAATACATGCTAAAGAGTTTGCTGAAAATGCAAAAATGTTTGGCTTAAGAAATCTTTTATATTCAGAGAAAATACATTTGATTTGATCAAAAATACAGTAAAAACAGTAATATTAAGGATTGTTGTTGTAGTTGTTGTTATTCTTTAAAATAGGCCTAACTGCTCTGTTTTAATTTTAAAATGTAATTTATTTCTGTGATGGCAAAGCTGAATTTTTAGTAGTAGTTACTCCAGTGTTCAGTGCCACACAATCCTTCAGAAATCATTCTAATATGCTGATATTGGAGCTCAAGAGGCATTTCTTATTCTTATTTTTATTTTTTAGCATTTATTTAAAACGGAAATCTTTTATAATATTATACTGTTATACTTTTACTGTCAACTTTGATAAATTAAATGGCTGATTATTATATTAATAAGTATACATTTTAATTTAAAACAAAAATCTGACCTACCCCAAATTTTTGAAAAGTAGTGCTGTTCATCTGTCGTGACTTGCAGGCAGCTTGTGACCTGGACTGTCATGGAAAGTCAATAAACTCAGAGTTATGCTGTGAGATGGGCTGGTTCGTTAAGGTGCTGTTGAAAGTTTGAAGGATGTACCGGTATCACCGTACTGGTATAGTATCGGTGGGTGGGGTTGGGGTTCCCCTCTTTTCTCACTTTCCTTCGCTTTTAAATGGCTTGTAAAAGCGCAGTGCGCATTTTACTTTGACTTTCAAATTAGCTGCAATTCGGTGTGAAGCGCTTGTTCGTTGTTAGTTCGTTTGAGTTTTCCCTCTTTTCCTTGCTTTCCTTTATTCTTTAAAATAGGCCTAACTGCTCTGTTTTAATTTTAAAATGTAATTTATTTCTGTGATGGCAAAGCTGAATTTTTAGTAGTAGTTACTCCAGTGTTCAGTGCCACACAATCCTTCAGAAATCATTCTAATATGCTGATATTGGAGCTCAAGAGGCATTTCTTATTCTTATTTTTATTTTTTAGCATTTATTTAAAACTGATATCTTTTATAATATTATACTGTTATATTTTACTGTCAACTTTGATAAATTAAATTGCTGATTATTATATTAATAAGTATACATTTTAATTTAAAACAAAAATCTGACCTACCCCAAATTTTTGAAAAGTAGTGCTGTTCATCTGTCGTGACTTGCAGGCAGCTTGTGACCTGGACTGTCATGGAAAGTCAATAAACTCAGAGTTATGCTGTGAGATGGGCTGGTTCGTTAAGGTGCTGTTGAAAGTTTGAAGGATGTACCGGTATCACCGTACTGGTATAGTATCGGTGGGTGGGGTTGGGGTTCCCCTCTTTTCTCACTTTCCTTCGCTTTTAAATGGCTTGTAAAAGCGCAGTGCGCATTTTACTTTGCTCTCTCTCGTAGCTGCAATTCGGTGTGAAGCGCTTGTTCGTTGTTAGTTCGTTTGAGTTTTCCCTCTTTTCCTTGCTTTCCTTCACTTTTAAATAGCTTAAAAGCACCGTGCGCATTTTACTTTCACTTTCGAACTAGCGGCAATTCGGCGTCAATTTAAGCATCATCAAAATACAACTTCAAGCTCAACTTAGCCTATATATAAATCATTGATTCGTTTTGTTAATAACAGTTCTAAGTACACCATTCTATAGGCTATGACTAATGTAAAATAACAAATAACTTGCACAAAATTTAAATAGCTTAGGTATACAAAACTGTAAATCAACAAACACTGGAACCAGTTAAATAAGAAACGAGTGTTTTATAAAAGCTTCCAAAATCACTTTAGATAAAAGCAAAAGTCAACAGGCTTTTCAAAATCCAAAATAGTGCCAAACATGCGCTTTTGCATTTCGTTTCAATACTAAATCTTCCGCTATCATCTTGTCTGTCTCACCTCACTCTTCTTGTCAGTCAGCTCGACTCTCCTCACGTGAATTAAATGTAATTTATGATGCGACGTGCGCATTTTACTTTCACTTTCGAACTAGCGGCAATTCGGCGTCAATTTAAGCATCATCAAAATACAACTTCAAGCTCAACTTAGCCTATATATAAATCATTGATTCGTTTTGTTAATAACAGTTCTAAGTACACCATTCTATAGGCTATGACTAATGTAAAATAACAAATAACTTGCACAAAATTTAAATAGCTTAGGTATACAAAACTGTAAATCAACAAACACTGGAACCAGTTAAATAAGAAACGAGTGTTTTAAAAAAGCTTCCAAAATCACTTTAGATAAAAGCAAAAGTCAACAGGCTTTTCCAAATCCAAAATAGTGCCAAACATGCGCTTTTGCATTTCGTTTCGATACTAATTCTTCCGCTATCATCTTGTCTGTCTCACCTCACTCTTCTTGTCAGTCAGCTCGACTCTCCTCACGTGAATTAAATGTAATTTATGATGCGACTTTCATTCGGCATGCTGTATTGAGCAGCCGCGATTAGTTTTTATTTGTAGTGTCTGTTCTCGAACTGAACGAAATAATTTTTATTACTATAAACATCAAAACGACGGTGAGGGACAGAGAGCAAGTGACATACCGGTTGTTGCGGCTTAACACTAGTATCACCGCCAACACCGTCTATCACAGCAAGCATACTCAGTAGTTGCTTTTTCATTGCTCAGGAGACTTAGGCCTAAATGAAGGAAAACCAAGAACTCCAAGTATCCACTTTGTCTCAGTGCAAATTTGTTGTCCATTGAAATGTAAACACAGTTTGAGTCAGTTCTAAGGTCTCTTCAACAAAAACAAAAGTCTACATTTGCTCTCCATTTAATGTCATTTCTGTCTAGAAGAAGCAATTAGAGGCATAAATAGAAATAATCAAATTTTTCTTTCTAATGAAAAAGTTTATTTTGCAAAACTGATCCTGATAGATCACTCTCTCGTTCTCAGTCTGAGAGTATTTTAGTTAAGCTGTCACTGATGACACAAGAGTTATCGCTCTGCAAACACCAGTGACACCCTCTTTCTATGTGGCATTTTCACATTTCCTCTGGATATTAATTTAGCATATGAAGCTCACCTAGTGTGCAGATGGCAGCAGTGTGTTCATTAATGTGAGCAAGTCTCTCTCTCTGTGTTCAGCTGAAGGGTGTTAACTGAATGAATCTAACTGAGCTGTTTGTGTGAACCCTTCCTCCGTCTATTCATTCATAAAAACAGCTCCATATATACAATCCAGAATGGATGCAGTAATGCAAGTCCACACCTTATCACAGAAACAGCTCACAGTAACTAACTTTAGACTGGAAGGATGTTGAATTACCACAAATGCTTTAAAGGGGTCATATGATGCGATTTACATTTTTCCTTTCTCTTTGGAGTGTTACAAGCTCTTGGTGCATAAAGAAGATCTGTAAAGTTGCAAAGAAGTCTCAAATCCAAAGAGATATTCTTTATAAAAGTTAAGTCAACCACGCCTGCCTAAAACGGCTCGTTCTAACACGCCCCCACATGGCTACGTCACGATGTGGGAAGATTTGCATAACGCCGCCCAAATGTTCATGCAAAGAAAGAAGGTGTAACTTTTATTCTTGCTGTAGTATTGTTGTTGCCACCGCCATGTCGTGAAGGCGCTGTGTTTCTTTGTGAAAGCAAAACCAAAAAAAGGTTGGCCTTCCAAAAGAGGACGATATCCGCTTCGTTATGCCTGCAGCTGATCCGTGCTGGTCGCTGAGGAAATGCATCAACTTCGTGCAGTCGATCGCCGGATCGGCTTTCACCGCGGACGAAGCGGAGTCCAGCCCGGGGTCGCCACATGTGGTTGCCGCAATCCCATTGAACGCTCCTTCGTCGAATCCGCCGGCCGCGCCGTTCTCAAGCCCGCCCGGCCTCCGCTCACTCTAGGCCGCGGCTCAATCTAGGCCTCCGGCCTCCACTCACTCAAGGTCTCGCGTGTGTGACGCTGTTTCGTTGTGAAAGTGAAACTACTTTGTTTGGCCTTCCAAAAAAAGACACAACTAGAAATCAGTGGTTAAGTTGTATTTACAACACTGTTCCAGAACAGTTTAACCCAAATATTCAGATGTGTCCAGCGCATTTTATGGAGGACTGTTTCCTGATCCTGGTAGAGTAGACTACAATGCCGGCTGTTCTGACTCACAGACGGTAAGTAAATTTTTTTATATTTAAAGAATTTGCCAATGACGATTCAAACGTGAGCTTTTTGGGCAGTGTGTAGAGTAGCACTTGTCGTTTGTCATTTCTCCGATCACAAATGCAGACATGGTTTTATGTTTACGCGGCGCATGCAACAAAACGCGTAAAAGGATAGTATAAGTCATTATAATCCATAATTATGTCCCCACTGGATGCAACAAATGCCTTGTTTATAATAGGTTTTAATGTTTTTGTCTCGTTGCTCCGGCCGGACAGGGCATCACAATATGGTAAGGAGCGTATCAATTCTGTCACACGCTTGAGGTATTCGGCCAATCACAATGCACTGGATAGCTGGCCAATCAGAGCACACCTCGCTTTTCAGACCAATGAGCTTTGTAAAAATCGACGCGTTTCAGAAAGGCAATAATGTACAGTATGTGGAAAATAATGTGTTTTTTGAACCTTAAACCACATAAATACATTTCATTACACCAAATACACAAAATAATGTTCTTTTTAGCAGCATCATATGACCCCTTTAAAAGTTCAGGTGTGTGTGTGTACGTGCTGATCTGGTGTTAGGGGCAGGTGGACTTCTCACCCTGTAATCACCATTGGGAAAGTGAGATCCGGCGTGGATCGCTGATGGCTGCGGCCACATTCTAATCACTCCTTTTTGAAAATGAACAGAAGGCACAAAAGCTGTGGGAGAAAGTGCTCTGATTGGAAGCAGGATGAAGAAAAGCTCCTCACAGGAAAGAGGTCTCGGCTTGAACGGATCCCCTCTGGTTCAAGTGGCCTTGTTTGAGAGATGACGCCAAAGTCAGACAACTGTAATCAGCTGTCCACAAATACTGTCATTCACTAAATCAGGGGCCATGGAGGATAAAACTGTGTGAAAGAGAAAGCTCTCATTCGAGTCATGGAGGAACCGTGTGTGTGTGTGTCTCATAGAGAGGCTCTTCAGAGTGTATTTTCAGCTCAGGCTCTTCTGCAGACCTCAGATGTGAGAGCTCATGATTTTTAATCTCAAATATGTCAAAGCACACCTTTGTTATAAAACTTTGTGTTAATATGTTAAAGGGGTCATATGATGCGATTTCAAGTTTTCCTTTCTCTTTGGAGTGTTACAAGCTGATTGTGCATAGATAAGATCCCTGAAGTTGCAAAGACTAAAGTCTCAAAACCAAAGAGATATTCTTTATCAAAGTTAAGACTCTGCCACGCCCCCTAATCCCAAACACACCGCCCGGGCAATGAAGGAGTGGCTTCGTAAGAAGCATTTCAAGGCTCTGGAGTGGCCTAGCCAGTCTCCAGCTCTCAACCCCATAGAAAATCTTTGGCGGGAGTTGAAAATCCGTGTTGCCCAGCGACAGCCCCACAACATTACTGCTCTAGAGGAGATCTGCATGGAGGAATGGGCCAAAATACCAGCAACAGTGTGTGAAAACCTTGTGAAGACTTACAGAAAACGTTTGACCTCTGTCATTGCCAACAAAGGGTATATAACAAAGTATTGAGATGAAATTTTGTTATTGACCAAATACTTATTTTCCACCATAATTTGCAAATAAATTCTTTAAAAATCCTACAATGTGATTTTCTGGATTTTTTTTTTCTCATTTTGTCTCTCATAGTTAAGGTATACCTATGATGAAAATTACAGGCCTCTCTCATCTTTTTAAGTGGGAGAACTTGCACAATTGGTGGCTGACTAAATACTTTTTTTCCCCACTGTAACTAGCTCACCTTTTGCTGCACCATGTTTGCATACATCTTCGTACTTTCTGTAATCAATATGAATCTGTACTAACTTTAACAGTCTCCCCGCACTCCCTCTCAGTTTCTTCTCCCTGCTCATTCTTAACTTTGATTTTTACTTTAAATTTATGTATAAGGCTTGCAACTTCGTTGAAACAATGTCTGAACTCCATAACTGCTCTACTATTCTTGATCTCTACAGATTCTCGAACTTGAACAAGCAAATCACCAAACGGCATTCTGGGTTGAGCGAGCGGCATCTTCAGAAAGGCGCTCTGCACTCTTAAGGAAATATTACCACTCCGCTCCGCTCAATAGACAATATAAGTGATTTATAATTAGTGGTCGACCGAGATTGTTTTTTTGACAGCCGATGCCGATATCTTAAAAAGCAGGGTGGCCGATATAAAGCCGATATAATTTTTCATTTTAATTAATATTTAAGAAATCTGAAATAATTAGAAAATGGATTAAAAAATAAATGTGTTAAATAAACATACTTTAGATGACTAAAGTATTTTTCACAAATAAATAAATATTTAATAAAAATATAATTAAAAAGTAAACACCGTAACCAACAGGGCCATGAATCGATCTTTTCCGGTATTTATTTCAGCACACATTTAAAATAAGATCTGATTAACGTGAATCTTATCATTAGTCTTCTCCACTAGATGTCACCCTTATTTACCTTGCGCGATGTTACAACAGAAAGCCTGTCATTCATTTAGCGCTTATCATGGCCATACGCGTGATTCGCAATGCTCAGGTGAAATGCTATAGTAATACTATAAATCTGCGGAAGCATTTGATCACGCATAAGGCGCCATGATTTCCGCAGAGAATGAATGGCGGATGGTGCGGCGCACTTTTTTTGTTTACTACACGCATACTAAAGCGTGGATGACGCTCATGGTGTTTTCAGCTTCTGCTGTGTCACTATATGATGATATGAACACGAATGTCATTTCCATCTGCTCTGAGAGTCACTTCATTAGCATTTACCATTTAATTTGAGAAAACTACCGTCATATCACATACACAGAAGCTGCAAGTTCTTCACGGCAACCCATCAAAATAAAAGTTTATTTTAACGATAAAAAACTGTCAGAATATATTACTATTTAGCAGTCTTAAGACTAAATGCTACTACTGCTAATACATATTAATAAATCTTTATTTTTAAAAAGGAATAATCACATTTGTTTTCTTTTTAATTTTAACAGTACACCTCTGTTGTACAGCACTTTGTTTGCCAAAAAATAAAAGGGTTTAATTTTCATTTGATTAGGATAAATTAAAATTGTTTTATGCCTTCATCTGATTACCAGAAAAGGTTATAGGGCCCTCTTATTGTTTAAAAAAAGACCAAATACAAAAAAAGAATAGGTTTAAAATACAGGCATAATTTCTTTTTATTAATTCACCATTTGTAAACTGATGTTTACTGTTAATTTTTTAGAAATATCAATAGCATTTGTATTAAAACTATATTCACTGAATGTAATAAAAAAATCGAGAATCGAATCGTATTCGAGAGCTTGCTAATCAAAATCGAATCGAATCGGGACATCTGAATCGATACCCAGCCCTAGTAGTATACTGTAATGTCACTTAAAATCTGTCAAGATAAAAGCCACTAGAAACACATCCTTGAGAAACAGCCATGACCCTGCAACAGATATGACACTCAAACACACTCACTGCTGCACTGAAAGAGAGAGGAAATGGTGTCCTTCTGGGAATCAGAGAGAGGTCATTCAGTGTCTAGTGTGTCCTCACTCATGCTGTTGAATTCTCCTTCAGCGTTACTGCTCTAAAACACCAGCAGGTGTGCAAGCAGATCGGTGGGAAAGTTACTCGTCTCTTCCATTTCTCCAGCTCCTCCCTGGAGCCCGTCGTCTGTGTTCCTGCCTGTTCAAGCTGAGCTGGGAATACATCTTCATAACTCGGATCTCATTTTAATAAGTGACAGAAGCAGATTCTGCACAAATAATAAGCGACCATATCATATTAGCACAAACCTCTTCCTATATGTCCCTGAGAGAAACACTACGAAGGCCTTATGGTGACGGACTCTGATGCCTGTGTTATACGTTTTTGCTCTGAATAATGTAAGTTGTGTAACATGCAAGCTCACTTTATTCCTGTATCGATGTCTTTTTACCGTGCTGTCTGTCTCTCACTTCTCCAGGAGGATTTAGGCTTGTCACCATGGAGAAAGCAGGAGAGAAAGTAATTGCATTGTTGCAGTGCTTGTAGAAATCCCATCAGCCTTGTGGGCAGGCCTGTCACAGAGCATAAAGAGCTGGCTAAAAACTTAAGCATCCATAGACAGGGCAGCAGCGGTGGCGGGAAGGGAAACGCCTCTCGCATAGAGCCAAGGTGTCACAGGAAGCAGATAAAGCTGCTGCTGGTAGTGCAGGAACAGGACCAGCTGCTGTTTCCATTAGCCAGATCTGTGCTGATAAGAATAGGGATGCTGGTAAATATCCAGGCTGAACAACCCTGATTAACCCCAGGTGGATGTGCTCTTGTTTTAGGCTCTGATCTCCGGTCACTGGATTGATTTACATTCTGAATGAGTGTCAAATACAAGCTGCCGGTGCTGATGCAAATAGACAGGTAGATAGACAGATAGATCTGCTTGAACTTTCAACATCATCTTCACTCTTAATTGGCGTGTTGGCTGGTAGGTGTGGTTATTGCACATTAAATTACAGAATACACAGATTTATTAAGTATTTAAAGGTGTAGTGTGTCATTTCTTTTTACTAGAATCACCAGATGGGACTGCAAATAGAACAAACATTTATGGCTGATACTGCCGTTATGAAGTTTAGAATAATTAAATATTATGTAGATACTGATAAAAAGAAAATAGTAAGATACTGTAAAACAATAGTATTGTGAAATATTATTACAATCTAAAAAAAAAAGAAGAGCCGTTTTCTATTTGAATCTATTTTAAAACTCAATTTAATCCTATAATGCCAGTATTTTAGTTTCAGCAGCTTTACTCCAGTCTTCAGTATGACATGATCCTTCAGAAATCATTCTAATATGCTGCCTTGGTGTTTAAGAACCATTTTTATTATGTTTTTTGCTGCTTCATATTTTTGTGAAAACCGTAGTTCACAACCATTCAAAAGTAATAAACATTAATAACTGAACACCAGCAATAATTGATAATAGAGGTCGACCGATGTATCGGTTTTGCCGATTAATCGGCACCGATAGTTGATTGCTGGAACTATCGGTTATCGGCAAAAATCCATGCCGATAGTTTTCCGTGTTGTGTCCATTGCTGGAGCGGCTGAGAAGGGTCTGCTGTCGTTATACAGTGCGAGAGCGGCCTCTAGTTGTTGAAATCACTGACAGCACATGCGATTTGTTTAGACACGTGATACTGCACGCTGAACAGAGCGGGAAACATCAGACGTGGATTTAAATGCAGCCGACAGAAAATCCTGCCGCGTCACAGAGCGCCATTCATATAGTTTTCCATTAAATTACATTAGTCCTGAATCGTTGTTAATGTACATAATGAATTGTGTATTGTGCATTTTCAGCAAAACGTTTGTCTTTCTGTGGCTCTAATAAAGTCTGTGTGCTTCATTTATAGAGCTATAATATAGGTCGCGCTTTCTCTTTCCGTTTGCTCCGTTTTTTAAACACCGAACTTCAAACTCATCTATGCCAAATTGTTCATTCTTGAAGTAAACTTGTGTCCGTTTGGTGATTTAAATTGTTTTAGACCGCTGCTTGAGTTGAATGCGACGCGTCCGGAGTATGTGTGATACCGGTGAGTTCTCCTAGACTCAGCGCTACGCTTTTATTTTGATTAGATAATCATCAAGTGTTCAAGAATAGAGGCAGTTAAAGTGTGAGAGTATACATACAATATCCATATGTATCAACCCTCTACATTGCGAGTAAATCACTCGCATATGCGACTAAATCTTCACTCTGGGCGACTAAATGATGTCTAATATTAGCCAATTGCTAATAAATTCTCAGATTTTATGCCAGTGTGAGTTGGAGACTAAGTATAAGTTTAGCACAGATATTTTCACTCGCCGAACACTGACTGAGCGCATCAGAGTTTCACTCTCCGCCAAGCGATCTGAGTTCCTTTGGAAATCTTCCGCTTTTAAGAACTACCGCTTTCTCCGGTAGTGGGTGGAATTAATGCACAAACGGCAATCTCATTGGCTGGCGCTCAGCTATTTACATCCCTGTTTTGATTTCAGCAAATCAGTTCGAGCGAACGCACACAACCTGATTAATATTCATGAATCCAGTAGCTCATTAATACTTTGTGCGTTTTATATTGTTCTTATTAGTAGAATTCGTATCATTATTATCTAATCAGTATTTTTGTTAGTTTTTCCCCAATTAATTTTTTATTTTTTTTACAGAAACACTGAATGACAAAAAATTGCGCTAATGGTGCCAAACACGTGTGTGGCATCAGTGAGAAGTGATTTGTAACAGCATTATTAGCTGTGAAATCTTGGGAAGGTGCATCTAGAGAGACTGGAATCAGCACTGTGCCTCTTTTTAAGCTTTCATACAGAGGAAGATGATCTCCAAAAACAAATGTGTCATCCTGAGGTCAGACCTTTGACCTCAACTTGACCTTAAAACATGAAAGTATACTGAAAAAAGGCCACAAATCAAGATAATGTGATAGTCAAAAGCCCGGAATAGAAGGTTCTGGTATTTTGTCTTCACTATGTTTTAATTGTGAATCTGTGTAAACTGACAGTTGGACTTTTGTTGGCATTCTATTCTGCACTTTATTTTAGAGTATGCACAATATGTAAAATAAAGGGCTATTTTTTTCAGCAGTCATTTTTTCACTCTTGTCACTTACAGATAATATTTATCTATTTCTCGCCATGAAAATAGCCACGGAAGCTGGAATGGCGTCAAACACAAACAAACTTGTCACTTACAGTTCATAAGCTCACAACTCGGCTAAAAAAAAAATAGTGGTGCAGAAAATGATAATACACATTTCTCTTGACTATATTTGTTTATTTTTCTCATTCTCACCATCTGGTAAAAAAGTCTCTATTTCTTGATCTATTACTTGGTATTTCATAAATCTTAAAGGGGTCATATGATGCTGCTAAAAAGAACATTATTTTGTGTATTTGGTATAATGAAATGTGTTTATGCGGTTTAAGGTTAAAAAAACACATTATTTTCCACATACTGTACATTACTGTTTCTCCTCTATGCCCCGCCTTTCTGAAACGCGTCGATTTTTACGAAGCTCATCGGTCTGAAAAAGCGAGGTGTGCTGTGATTGGCCAGCTATCCAGTGCGTTGTGAGTGACCGAATACCTCAAGCGTATGACGGAAATGTTACGCCCCATACCACATTGTGATGATGCCCTGTCAGGCTGGAGCGCTGATTCAAAAACATGAAAACCCATTATAAACGAGGCATTCATTGCATCCAGTGGGGACATAATTATGGATTATAATGACTTGTACTGTCTTTTTACGCTTTGCGTTGCATCGCACCGCGTAAACATAAAACCATGTCTGCATTTGTGATCAGAGAAATGACAAACAACAAGCCCTACTCTACACTGCAAAAAGACTCGCTTTAAATACATAAAATATAAAAACTCCTTAAATATAAAAAACGTACTTACAGTCTGTGAGTCAGAACAGCCGGCATTGTAGTCTACTCTCCCAGGATCAGGAAACGGTCCCCCATAAAATGTGCTGCACACATCTGAATATTTGGGTTGAAGTGTTCTGGAACAGTGTTGAAAATACAACTTAACCACTAATTTCTAGCCGTGTCCATTTTTGGAAGGCCAAACATAGTTGTTACACACATACACACATAGTAGTTGCACGTATAGTAGAATGCACATGTGACGACCCCGGGCTGGACTCCGCTTCATCCTCGGTGAAAGCCGATCCGGCAATCCACAGCGCAAAGTTGTAGTATTTCCTCAGCAACCAGCACGGATCAGCTCCAGGCATGACGAAGCAGATAGCGTCCTCTTTTGGAAGGCCAAACAAAGTACCGTATTGACCCGAATATAAGACAGTGTTTTTTTTCTTGGAAACACGTCTGAAAAAATGCGGTCGTCTTATATTCAGGGTCTAGACTTTGACATGTCAATAATACACCCACAACAATAGGTGGCGCCAAATACGCATAATACGAGTGTGCCATCGCGAGTAAAAACTTACAGCTGCATGAGTCGTGACTGTCATGTTAGCCTGATGGGACCAAACTCCCTTTGTGATTTTAAAATGTAAGACAGTACCCAGATTTGAAGACTACAGTAAGATTGAACTTCTACTGTTAATAAGATTTTGGTAGGCTACTATTAGATGGATAGCCTAAATGTCCTAATTCAGATGGGCTACCTGTTTTTTTTTTTTTAATGGTATATCAAAAAGTGTATATTTTTAAAATGTGATTGTTGGTACATTTAACCAGTAAATATGCAATATGAAAATAATTGAAGACAATGTGTTTTACTGAGAAAAACAGAAAAAAAAGTTTTTTAAAAAGCCTTTTTCCAAAAGGTACATCTGGAAAAAGGGGGTCGTCTTATAATCAGGGTCGTCTTATATTCGGACCAATACGGTAGTTTTGCTTTCACAACGAATCACACAGCGCCTTCACGACATGGCGGCGGCGGCAACAATACTACAGCGAAAATAAAAGTTACACCTTCTTTTTTTGCGTGAACATTTGGGCGGCGTTATGCAAATCTTCCCACATAGGGATGTAGATATGTGGGGGAGTGTTAGAATGAGTCGTTTTAAGTAGGTGTGGCTGACTCTTAACTTTTATAAAGAATATCTCTTTGGATTTGAGACTTTAGTCTTTGCAACTTTACAGATCTTCTTTATGCACCAAGAGCTTGTAACACTCCAAAGAGAAAGGAAAAATTGAAATCGCATTATATGACCCCTTTAATGTTTGTTACTGAAATTTAGGCAAATAAATGATTTGTCTCTTTCTCCTCCTCTGTATTAGTAATTTATTTACTTTTTTACATATTTAAACTAATTAACATCATCATCTGAATAGATCATTGTCTGTAATCTAGGTGTCCGCTTGGTCTGAACGTGTTTTGGTTTGCTCATGTTTTTCTCTCTTCTTCTTCTTCTCTCTTTCTCACCAGATGGTCACAAGAACAAAGAAAATATTTGTGGGTGGATTATCAGCGAGCACAGTCGTTGAAGATGTGAAACAGTATTTTGAACAGTTCGGAAAGGTAAGACCAGAACATTACTCCCTACTGATATTCCAGTATGAACATCTTCAGATTTCCATGCCTAGGCGAGCACAGACTCACTCGTGTCTGCTCCGAATGTATTTGTTACAGTGCTGGAAATGAGGGCACAGATGTGTGAAGGCGGTGTGGTTGATTCAGGAAACTGTTGTTGGTGTTTTCAGTGATGTTGAAACTTACAGAGTGAATGAAGTATTTATATCCAAACATTTACTGCCAAGTAGCTGACATTGATTAGCACCTGCCTGGGGGTGGGGCTATAATGGCTGTGGCTGGGATGAGATGAGTGAAGTTGGGGGTGGAATTTGGGCTGGGAGTGGGTGGGGTTTGGCATTGTGGGTATGGCTAGATTGTTGTGGTTAGACATAAGGGTGGAGTTGGACTGTATTTTTATATGGATTTTGTTGCCATAGTTATGGAAATTTCAACTGAATGAAAGACTGCCGGCTGTTACTATTACCTGTCTGCTTGTATAAATAAAAATGAATCGGAGTGTAAGTATTCGCCACGACGGCTGCAATCATCATAGCTGAGCAGGACTTGATTGACTTGATTATATGAGACAAGCTTTTTTAGCTTCTCATGGCTCCTCTTCTTAGCTTCTCGTGGAAGATTTTAAGAGCACAAACAAATCAGTGTGATTGAATATGTCATCTGAAATCAGAGCCCCTCTCTTTCTCTTCTCCCAGCTCTCTCTCCCTTTCCCACAGGCTGCGAAAAGGCTCTCTTTCAGGCTTTCTTTTTCAGGTGGATTTGTATGTTTATTAAATAAACTGGCAATCCGCTGTATACTGCCATTATCCCTGTGTGTCTGTGCATCACTGAGACTCCCACAAATGGGAACCCCGGTTCTTTAGGCCTTAGAGAGAGACAGCGGTCAGGCAATTCACATGTCTCAACTGGACATATTTGGAATTTTTTTAGTGGACTTAAATGCCATCACTTGTGTGTGTGTGTGTGTGTATGTTTAAGTTCAGTTGTCTCTGCATGGATGTGGTTCATGTGTTTCAGTGCTCAGGGTGAATTTGTGTATGTTTCTAATTTTGTGTGTGTGTGTGTGTGTGTTTTGGGTAATTGTGGCAGTTGGTTAAAAGCCGAAAGGAGGAAACAGGTGGTGATTTCACAGTTTTTCAGGGAAGAAGTTTTCAGTGTTTCATTGGCTAAACAAGTGACGACACAGTGAAAAACAGTGCACATTTTTGACTTCTGCTCTTTGCAGCCTCTTTTAAAGCCCTATGAAATCCATTCCACCCCCC